ATGATATTATGGATTTAGCTGCGTTTCGCTAATCACGTCATTACCACAATATTTCTTAACCCTAACAATATTTTATAGCTATTTCATAAACACAACAAAGTAGCCCTAAGGTCATAACACAAAGTTTCAACCAACTTTCCTGTTAGTAACAACATAAAGAAAATAAAACAATATCGTTTAAAAAGTTTCTTGTAATATGGTTTTGAAAATTTTGTTTTAATTTTTTCCATCGAAGTTGACTACCCTATTTTATTGGATTTCCTGTCACCATCTTGGCCATCTTGGCTCGTCTCAGCAACTGTGACGTTTTCATTAAAATGTTTGACTTCTATTCTGTTGTCATAATCTATTGTTGTTATAATTTCATCTCGTCTGTGTGAGACGTTGAAATGACGTCGGACGGATTTTGAAGTGCGGGTGTCAGCTACTCGTTATAACTTTCCGAAGATGAAACGACAATAATGGTTATTGTTGCTCCAACTATCACTGTTCGTCTAATATTATCGCGCCATTCCCCGAAGAGTTTCGCATAGGTTTGTTATAATTTTCGTCTGTTATTTTGTGACTTCCGTGTAAAAGTGGGCGTGGTTAAAATAAATCTAGTATTTGTATTTTTTAGATCGCACACCAATACTGAGAATTTTGACATTGATACCCGGTAAGTGTTTGATGCGAAAACATAACAAAATTAGGCGCCTGTATCATCTCTGTTAATGATCAGTGACGGTCTAAAAAATATTTTTGAGGTAACTAAAGCTCATTTTATTATCCAACTAATTATTCGTACCTTTCAAAATAAACACGTTTTAACCTAACACAATTTGACGTAAAGCTACCCAGTGGTTTTAACGAAAATATTTGCGTATTTAAAAATATTTTTATGGCAGAAATTTTGTAGTTAATTGTCACAACAAAAGAAATTATTCCGTCGCCTGGCTGTTGTTTTTAAGGCAGATTTAAGCATGTCTTTGTACGTAGCAATGTTATCAGCTAAGCCTTGGTTAGCACCAGTAGGTTTCTAATACTTTGTGGCACGCAATCCTAATTTATGCAGACAGCTTTGGAAACAATTGTTTTGTTCGTGGTCAGTCTTTGCCCTTTTTATTATTATGAGTCAAATTCGTATGAACTAAGATAGGTACTGTATTTAGATTATTAAAATTATGGTTCAAAACATCTCTAAATGCATATATTTTGGTAAATCAACAGTTTTTAGTCAGGAAAACAAAACGAATACGAGCTACATTGTGAATAATTGTTTAAGCGATATTCGTTTTCAAACTTGTATCTGATAATGATAAGTTTATTGTAGGTATTGCATTAATTACTTCTTACGAGCTAAAAATATTATAGAAACAAAAGAACCTACCTAACCTAGTATAAATCCCTCCTCTGCAGAACTTTAATATCATAATCTCCCCAAGTATAATATATTTATTTGAGTAGGAGACCTTACGGACTTAATATTATAAAGTGCACGTAGACGAGCTGTATGAAGCTGACAAAAGAGTTTGGAAGCTCCAGCAATTGTAGGAGACCGCCAGGATAAAATACTGCTACCAAACTAGTGAAGGGGGATTCTTATCTTTAGAAATGCACGGTACAACGCTTTAAAAAAAATATTTTTGATGACGGAATTGTAAAAATGTGAAATATTAAAGATGGACTTTTTACCGACGCTTAAAAGAATCTGCTTTCGTTAATGAGGTTTTGTGAGAAAAGTTAATCATAAAAATGAAACTTCACTTACCATCCTTTCTTCTCCATTTGCAACTAAAGCTAAACGAATAGGATATCATCAACATAATAATTACGTTCTTGGGCTACACCATCGCGATTACGCGAAGATTCGCGTAGCCGTAAACCATAGCAACATGAAGAAACTTTATGTTCCTTTGCTACCAAAATCTATAAAAATGTTCGTCTCACTGTCTACCTGCATTTTCAAAACAACTGACATGTCAGTGACGTCAGGTCCAAATTAAAAAGGAAAGAAACACATTGTGTTCTTTTTCTAAATCCTATAATGTTGCTTGAAATAACAGAAAAACAAATGGCACGTTAATGACGTCATGCTCAAAATGACAAGGAAAGGATCATGTTGTCGTCTCGTACTAAATGGAAAAGCTATTTACACCCACATAAATAACAAAAAAAAGTCAGTCGCGTTACCTTACTCATGAACAACTTGAACAATATTCATAATGTTATGTATTGAAGGGATGTTTAAGTTTATTACTCGTTTCTGATTAAATATACGGAATTCTCATCGTTTTCATGATAATTATTATATTTATTTATCATGTACCTATATTATATTCCCGTAGGAAACTACGAGCAAAAAAGGGAATGTTAACCGTTTACATTTTTTTTATTAGTTAGGTATCTTAGCCATATTGCATAAGAGGATTGGTAATCATCGAGAACCATTCGAAACTTCATGGAAATCATAATACGCATTTTCAACGGCTTCATTTAATTTTCTCTCTACCGAAGAGCTGATATTCAGCAGACGCGCCTGAAAATATCTATTTTAAAAAGTTCCAGAAACTACGTTATCATAAGGCGTTATTGATTATACATCTTTTGTATTAGATTAAACAATTATGATAAAAAATTAATAGTATGAAAATTAGCTATTATACAGTAGGTCCTCTGAGGAGCTAATGAAATATTAATAAAAGGAAAATTAATTAAACTTAATCGGGGTTTCCATTTATTAAGCTATTAACTTTGTTTTTGAATCTGTGTCTAGACATAATCTAATAGGTGATAGGTATACATCGGAAGTAAATTCCTACTAACTAGAGACACTTATGTTGTGTACATCGTATACTTTAATGAAACTAACTTTGTCCTTTAATTGGGATGATGACAGAGTATGAAAATCAAAAATCTAATTAGTCCGTCAGTTAGGTACTTAATGAAAAAATATTAGACACGTATTTTTTTATTTTGTCGTATAAGCAAGCAATACTTAAATATCACGAATCAAAGTTTAGGAGTGGGGGCTAAAACGTCATTTCTACGTATAAAATGTACATAGAAGTGACGTCACGCGACATTTCAAATCAATAGGTATATCGTCGAAAGTATTCGTTTCCGTAAAAAATAAAAAATTCGTGTCTAATGATTTAAAATAATCTACCAGACGTACATTAAAGTAAAAATTAGGCAACTAACCTATTTCCTGTTTTTCAGTAACAATCTTCAAAAAAAAATATTTCTGTTAGCTTCGATTAAAGTTCATCGAATTCTAGAATTCCGAATTACCGAAATTTTCAGAAAAGCTACTAGCCAAAATTCGGGTCCATTATTGTACAAATACACGTTTATTTTCTGTACGTTTTGTTAAATAATCATTGTTCGAAAAATAAAGAAAACAACTATAATGTAACAAATTGTTTTTTATTCAACAAAATCATGCCAGTATTATACTAGTTACAGTACACGTTAACAACAAAAGCATATGTGTTCTAGATCAATATGTACAACTGTCCTCGTGATATTTAGTAGCAATTCAAGATATGTACTGACATTTTACGCGACCCCAGTTGGCCGTCGTCCCTCAAACTTACTTATTATAGTACAGCAGTGATCACTTTTTGTTCAAGATTTTCTTACCCAAAAGTACTTAGAAAACTTGTTTACAAAAATTAGGATTCTTAGAAGCAGTTACATTTCTAATTAAAATTTATTCTCTTTATATTAATCCCTCATAGTTTTTACATATCGTCAACGATCCCAGTACGTAGTATAAGTTCTCAATTTTTTATACTTTATTATTATAATATTCTTACAAAAAAGATGTCGACTAACCATAACTTTTATATACAACAGTAGATCTAAGAAGGCGATTCTAAACTTTTATTTACAATATAATTTTGAATTCTAAAGATAGGTTTCAAATTAAAATTTCGTTTGCAAATAGCTCTTGCTGCAAAAATATAAATTTTGTACCTAGTAATTAACACTTCACTTTCGAGAAATCACCAACGAAAATAATCTTCCCACTAGCAATGACCGAGATATGTATCGAAGACTTAATTAAATATTTTACTATAAAACATTAAGTATTAACTAGCTACCTGAATTGTACATTATCATATAAACAATATCGTTAAGAAACAAACGGCAATAATAAAATGAAAGTATAATTATATCTATGAAGTTAGTTGGAGTATTCCTTTTGGAATAGACCAGAGGCATGTCTGTGTCTAAATCACGTTTTGTTAATAAAAGAGTTGAGATAATTTATCACGTTTCTGATTGTATTAGGGGTCTGAAGAAGAGGGTGAGGGAAAGTGTTAACAGCGTTACACTTAGCGCAGGCGCCTCGCTGGAACTCCGCACTGAAACAAACAAGCTTTGTTATTCGAGTTAAATGATGAGACTCCCCAGGGACCCGGTAAAAAGTTGGACATCACAATAATGTACCAACCGTTTACTTTGTACGCCCGCACCGCTTCAAGAAACTAGATTACTTTGTATCTTTTTAACTAACGCTTTAAACAGTTCAATTATGTGTTTTATACATTGTGTCTATTTGTCTGTCCGTTGTAATTTGACGACTATTTTCTTTGAGTGGGTATTATGGTCATTTTGTGAACGTAGCTTTGCTAATTTGACTCTTTATTATTTGTTGTTTGCTCAAATTGTTCTTGTTGATGTTTGCTTTATAAAGTTGGACAACCAGTTACTTACTACTTTTATTATTTTTTTAAATAGACCTTTTCAGATTCCAAGCTATCAAAGAGAACTTAAAATCGAACAAAATACGAAAGCGAGCCACATTAATTTATTTAACAATAAATAAAATTGAACTTTCCCAGTCCCTTTATTACCGATACCTACTCGTTTTCCAATCGAAGTATTTGAACATAATTTACATTACAGTACAATTAATAAACATTGCTTATTACATATTCATTGGTATTGTGGTTAGGCCACTTTGTACAATATTACGTACCTAAGGATTCCTAATTGCCTAGGTGTATTAAATCGAGGAATGATACATTGCCCCAAACATTACTAATTTATTTTGAAACCAATGTTTTACGAACATCAGTAGCTTATAAGGGTCTTTATTTTAATTGCAGATGTTATTAAGTATTTGGGAACTAAACGGAATTTTTAATTATTTAAAGTGTTTTTGATATTTTAATGTTTTACGTATAAAAACGTTTAAACTGCCAACTATTGTTTAATGATATAAACGTTTTAAATCTATAAATGTCAGTAAACGCTGTGGAAGTAGGTAGAGGTTCGACTCCGACGTGACAACTAACACGTTAACTGCCGCTTAGGTCAACGGTCACTATCGTTAGCGGAGGAGTTGCCTTCAACATTTTTCTTAACAGAAAAATGTCTAAGTCTTTACTTAAGGTCGATTCAACAAATTATGATTCTGATATAATGACTTATCTGTAGTAAACTGACAAATCACTTCACACAATCAATCAGGCATAGTATCTAATTACCACTTGATAGTGTTACAACACCGACCACTAGATTATCCCGCAATCGTACTCCTCGATCACATCCGTATAGAGTTACACTAATTTAATAGCTAATTAATCAGTACATTTGTAATTACAAATCGATTCGATTCTATATATTATCGATATGACATGGAGTTCACTCGAGTAGGCTTGCGAATGATAATATCATAAGATATCACGATTTGCGATCGACATCACATTATAACATTGTTATGTGAGACGGGTCGGGAATTCGGGATATTAAATTGTTATAACTCGGGGATTTGCGACGGTGACTTAAAGGTTTTTGTACCCCATTATGTTTATGCTTGTAAAAGGATTTGGTCTTCATTTTCGTGTTTCAATAATAATAATAGAGGCCTATTATTGTCCCGCTGCAGGGCAAATGCCTGTCCCCTTATAAAACACATCGTTAGAGTTCTGTATTAGTTTATAATTTTTATTGTGGTGTAGTAGACCAACAATTGTGGTCGGTACCAAGTTGTGATTTTTATTTCTAGACTGAACTCACAGAGTGAACTTAGATTCACTTCAATTTTTAGGCACAGATTACGAACTTCCACTGTTTCCACATTCATGAGCATTAATGTCTCATAGGAAATGAATGTTAACTTAAACTATTCCGCATTTAACCTTTTTTCAGAAAAACAATAGTGCTTTGTACTAAAACAATAATATTGGAGCAAAAAATTACTTCAAATCGATGTTACTTTAAAAATAATCGACCGTCGAAAGTCGTTTACATGTTCCCCGCAGTTAATGGTCTCGATTGAAAATTTGTTCAATGATTATCGAGCGATTTTAATCGACCAATCGTTTGCTCGCTATTCATGCGGGACTTCCAAGCGATTTTAGAAAATTCATGAGACATTTTATACTTTTTACAAATTGATTGTAAGTAAGTGAACTTTGATATTTATTTGGATTCAGATTATACAAGCTTAATCTTGTAATGCTGGTGTATAAAAAATCTATACAGATAAATAAAATTGGAGTTTCTGTTTATAATATTAAAATAACGTCTTTTCACTACATGCATATGAATATACATGCTGTTGCATGTATATATACCAAAATAACTTTTTTTATTTTTGTCTATCTGCCTGTCTGTTTATACTAGCCAATCTCTCAAATGGCTGGACCGATTTTGATGGGAATTTTACTGGTAGATAGCTCATGAAATAAGGAGTAAAATAGGCTATTTTAATTTGAAAAATTGAAACAAAAAGCAGATATGTCTTATATTCTAGGCGGACGAAGTCGCGGGCAACAGCTAGTCAACCAATAACTTTTTTTATAAAATTTATAAGTATCACATTTTTTTTAATGTTTTATTAAGACTGATAACAGTCTATAAATTTAAATATAAATTTAAGACCACATACACGCTTGACACAATAACTAAGCAATATATACAGCATGTGTGTAAAAAGTAGCAGTGTTGTCTTAACAGAACAAAATTCTAAAACCAAGCAAGTAACATAATTGCCAAAAGAAAACAGTTGCTGAATTTCACAGGCATATAAATGTACTTTTAAAACCCCCTGTACAAACACTTACACAACATTAAAAGTTAAAACATATCGCTTACAATCATTAAGCACACCGAAATAGAATTCATTTGCACCGAAATGTAACTTAGAACAACCAGTGCCTTCCTAATTAAACGGATATGTATGTTCGGTTCGTTTGCACGGTGTAATTAGTGCCAGAAAGCCCCCCTTACACCCCCAACGGCCCCCCCTACATTCCATATGGTTGCACCAAAGCTTGCACCGTTCATTTGCGATGCTAACAAATGGAAATTAAAAATAACACAATAATTTGTTACTGATTTTTCGCGTTTTCTTTTAGCTCTACTTTGAAGCTGCCTCTTTCTGTAGGATTTGTTAGTTTTACGCACAGAAATATTAAAAATTCTTCTTTATTATATCTATGGTTTTACGTATCTATATTTCAAAGTTTTTTTCAAGTTGGAATATTTTTATAGAGTCACTTCGTATGGGAAAGACGTAGATAAGAGAACTGTCAGAATTTTATAAGCTCCTAGTGTAATCCAACTGTGAAGCTGATACAGTTAAAAAACAATTTAATATCAACACATTCGTTTTTCAACAAATATAGACGCACTTATGCGTTACCTTTTGATCCCTGAAGAGGTAAGTAGAGAAGTATGAATGTTATGCTATGTAACAATCAATTTTCACTTATAATCTTTATATATATAATTCCGCTGTACGTGTGTCATTGAACTCCTCCTAAACGGCTCGACCGATTTAAATGATTTTTTTCTATATGCGTTTGAGTAGCACTCTGAATGGTTTAGATTCACAAATCAGCCCGGCAGATGTGCATATGTAGGACAACGTCTGTCGGGTCCGCTAGCGTAATATATTTTTCAAGTAAATTTTTCAAAACAATTCCAATCCAATATGTTTTCAGTACATAGTAATTTCCTTATTGCTTTATTCCAATACGCCTACACTGTTATTAAAAAATACAATTGTAAATGCACGTAGGCGTTATTTTAACGTTTGACCCTTTCGACGTCAACTCTTGACTCCTACACAATATATTTAGTTACTTGGACTCCAAATATAGGCAGGAAAGTTACATAGTATAAATAATCTTTTAAAATGAATATTACTATTTTGTTTTATTTCTCAAACAATATTATTCTTTACATTTGCCTCTTAAGAACTAATTCAATATCTACCAATTGATTTTTAATATTTTATTTACATATCTGCACTCAAAATGTGGGAACCTATATTTGCAATTAGTCAAGATTTTATACTTCAGTTCATAAAAAAATTAACACCTAATTCTGACTTTAAATAAATACAACATTGAATTGTTTTACAAAAGCAGTGATTATGTACAACACTGAATTATTAAAGCTCTACAATGCAGTCAGACATCGAATTCTTATTGGCCATTAAAAATCTTGAATTTTATATACAATACCAAAAAGGATTTTTCTAAACATTTTAGCGTAGAAACTTCAATTGTATTACTTACAAAATATGCTGTCCTCTCCGATACCTTAAACAAAGATTAAGGTCATTCTACGATGGAAATTTTAACACATTAATTTGAACACTACTTTTATTATAATAAATAATAAAAATAAAACAATATTACGTCGTAGAATGTCCCTTAATTTGAATGTTTTTAACGTATTTTTCGAGATATGATATAAAACTTTATCAAAATATTCATATTTCGTACGTTAAACTTTAACTTAAATAAAATAACTAATCAAATCATTTGTTTAGGTGGCGTTTGACCTCGAAAAGAAATAAATGAGGACTGTTATTTAAGAAAACTATTATTTTTAAACTATCTTAAATGATTTTGTATGGCGTAAAATAATAAGCATGCGTGACAACCCTCGCGTCGAGTGTCGCACATTCTACTCTGCTATGGGCCCCTGACGTGGCTTTAAACTAGTCAAATTATCTCGTCAAAGTGAATAAGCCGTTTAATATCATAATCAGCTACATTATTCATTGTTCTTTAAAAATAGATATTTACCTAATAACATAGCTTCTTTACTATCAGCAAGCTGGCTGTTCCCAACGACTGCTTCGCTGCCTTCCCGCCAGGCGGGCGCAACTCGCGCGGTGCATCGCACCTGCATCGTCCGGCCGACTGGCACCCGCAGGCCCAGAGCTGTAGACAGCAAGCCGTGCGCGTGCTGCGTCGGTGGATACTCCACGAGGAGTAAAGGGTCTGTCACCTAGGAAAATATTTAATTTTATGTAATTAGCATAGGGATTTTGGAAATTCTGTCTTAAAAAAACAGTTCCATTTATTTTATTTTAATCGTAGTAATGTCGTATTAAAATGAGACAATTCCTCTATTAAAACATATAGTTAGAATTATCTCAAAACTATATGTTTTAATAGAAGAATTATCTCATTTTTATGTTTTGACGACCATAAAAATAAGTTATATCTCATTTTCTCACAATGATAGTAACGCGAGTTACAAATAAGATCAACTAAAACCAAATACCCGTTATTATTACATGAAATGTGAAAAAAGCTTCAGAATTTCACACAAACGTAACCCAATCTTTGTCTATTTATGTATTTCGCGGAAATTCATTCAGATCTAACTTACTCTCGACTCCTCAAAACAAACTGCCATGGCTTTTAAAATAAACGAAATAGTAGTAAAAACAAACTGTGACCACATAGAATTTGCACAAATATCCATAATTTTGTGGGCAGACAAATTCTGAGAAAATGCCAGTTGATTCGTAGAATTTTATCATCAAAATCACCCATTTCGAATATATCTAATCCCGACATAAAGAAATGGAAAGATAATTAAAATAACTCGCATGATCGCATCACGAACATATTATATCTTCTATCAACACAATATGATTACACTTTATATTATCCTGTGGGCGTGTTTACAAACGAACATTACGTTATCAATAACAACTACTGTCAAAACAGCCTCCAGCATCCATTGAGAGCGAGCCTTTGTATTCTATCATTTCATTCACCACCACCCTCTATAATTGTCATACAATCCCTTTCAATTAATTCATTGAACTGCGTCTAATCTCAATACTGACGGTAATCTCAGAACAATGTGTTTTAATTAGACCCACGAAAGAAGGAAGAACAAAAGATCTGTCAATTTGTTCCATTGTGAAATGTCAATTAGTTAGGATAAGTGTCGTAAGATTTTACAAAAGAAAAGAAAAAGTTAGCGCTTGGATCGAGGTGAATGCTTGGTGGGCGAGAGACTTTTTGCTCACATTTTTCCTATCTATTTACCCCGCAATAATTATGTAGGACAATGTCAAAAGATATTATGGAAATGGAACTGCAGTTCTGTATTTATCTACATCGGCTTTCAATATTCATCAAGATTTGAATTCCCCGATTGAATTTAGGGATGGCCACAAATAGACTTCCATAATAGTCCGGCAATGACATCTTCGCCACGGTATCCTTCGATTCGGAACACTTAACGCGATAATTGATCGTAAATTTCATGGTAACTAACCATTGTGAGCGGAAGGCTTGTAAATGGATCTGCTCTACTATTAATATTGAATAGTTTAATCCCCTATAATAACGTCTATTTCCTTTTCAACATAGATACCATATTTCCATGAGAAATAATGATGAAAGAAATGTACCTCTGTTAATAACGAATCTACATAACGACCCAAAATATGAAGATCGCTGTACCCAGTAACAAAAATAAATAAAAAGAATGAAATAACTTAAACCCAGTGCGGGCGAGTTTTTAATAAAAATCCCGCCATCATTATAAAAAAGGGGATAGAAATGTTTCGAAACATTTTAGCCAGTTATATATCTGGACATATTGCTACAAGTTTGACCCGAATAAAAAAGAATGTGACGAGTTCGGCAGTATTGTTCAAAACAAAAAACAAACTCGGGCCAAATCAGAAATAAAAGATAAATACGAACCCGCACTTCAATAAGCCCCAGTAAGGATTCGAACAAAGTTAAAATTTGAAAAAACCTTATTGGATATAAGACTCGAATTACAGAAACTCGTTGAAAAGGGTCAAATATCTGGCCGAACAATTATATTAATAAGGATCGTTGGCCAGAAATTAAATCTACTCGGTACGTGTAATATTGTATTACGGACCGATCAAAATTAAAACAACTTAATTAACTTGCAGTTAATGGATCCACATTAATTACTTTGTGGTTATACCATTAAAAGTTCGGTATATAATATAAAAAAGCCATATTGTAATTTGAGCGAATAAATAGCTGTATTTATGTCATAATATTTTTGATCGTCTTCTTTATAGGCGCCAAGAGTTCGTTGATAATAAACGTAAACTTTATATTATCCCTTGAATGGGTCTTAAGTGGGATTATTATTTTCTTCAGACATTTTCTGATAAACAAAAATATTGGCGAATAAAAGATAGTAATTAAGTAGATAAGATAAGTTCCAATTTGGAAGAAATGTAACGTAAACAAAAAGGGGATGTAAAAAGTAGTGCAAGTTCTGTTAATGGTTATGCAAGCTGTGTCTAGAAGATTGATTGATGTGAGTAGTTGGTCGACAACGAGCGGATTAGTTGGCAGCACGGTGGGTAATGGACGCATAATGCATTATGTCCCCTCACGACTGGCCACAGCGGACTATCGAGTTACGAGACCACGAAAATGTGGATATGGTTTCGTAAAATTACGGGATCGGAATTTCGTCCAATTTCCTTTCTACCAGTGATGTAATATCAAACCTGGTGTTTTTGACGATTTAGTAAAGGTGTACACCTCTTGGCAACACAATACAGATTCTTAACTAAATAAACTCCGACTATATCTGCGACTAATAAAATGACTTTAGGAAGCGACTCATACACCTATAGCTTAAAGGCAAAACATTCGAATATTTAAAAAAACGGGAATTTTCGTAAGGAAACGGATATTATACGTTATCAATAAATGATATACGAAGTTTACTCAACCGTAATATAAGAGGAGTATAAACAAAAAACAAAAACAATTGTTTAACCTCTATCAAAACTGAAATCGAAAACATCGCTTGTCTCGTAAATGTCAATATTTTCCGTTCAAAATGTTTTAATAGTACCTTTTCTCCATCAATGTCCCAACTGAGTACTGCCGCAGGGTAGGACCGCCCCGACGTACAGTTGAGGAATAAGGAGTCCCCTCTTCTATTCTCTTGCTCGTTGCCTGTTATTCTTGGACCTTCCCTCGGTAAATCTGGGGACAAAATAATCTGTTAATATAGTCATTCTTTCCTTTTTATAAACGTTGCCCCTTACCGCGGTCTGTGTTTTAAGATTTTGACACATTTTTTTGATAGAAGAATATTGTAATATATAATATCTGACCTAGTAGTTTAGGTATGTGCTAGTTGTTGTTCTAAGCAAAAACTTGTACTCATCAGTACTATAAAAAAATTACGTGTTCAAGCTATATACATATAGGTTTTATATGTAGACATTTTTTCTATATTCCGCTCTAAAGTTAAGAATATTTTTTGCAGTGTAAAACAGTTTCATTTATTAGTAAACAACCAAAAATACAAAGAACATTAACAAGAAATGGAAACGTTAAAATTAGCTCGAAAGAGTTGGAACAACGTGTAAAATAAAGGAGCAATATGTACAGTTAAATGACAAAAGACAATGAGTACATCTGTCGTTTAGAGCCGGGGGCGATTCTCAAACTGCGGTTGTAATACAAACTCCAAATTGAAATAATGGCTTCCTTCTGTTATGTATGCCTCCCGTCAAAGGGAATGAAATTGGAATTTTTGTGAAATTAAACTCGTAAATGAACGAAATAGATCACGAAATTACGAAGACAACAGACATTTTCGAGCTTGGTACACTCGGTTTGACACTAAGTATTTCTTTATGTTCGTCATGTAGACACCAGTTTATTGGCCCATGTAAAATGCTTAACGATTTTAAAGTGGAGGCTGGTTCAAATCAATGCAGAGATACTATGCTTCAAAAAGTATATTATAAAATTGACATGAGTCTCGTATGAGACCAGTGAAAGAAAAAAGACACTATACGTTTGTTTATATGTATACAAATGGGACAATGGAGACAGAAAAGGTATAAATAGCCTGCAGTTTATTTTAGAAAGAAATAAAATAGTAACGTTGGTTTTGTTGTTGGACATGTTTGATATTTGAATAATACTAGTGAAATCACTGGTGAAAACTGGTATAACCATAATAATAAAATCGATAAGAACCCAATAGTTCAATTACGTGCTTATTCTTGTAAATGTTTTAGTAACGTAGGTATCTCACGGAACACTCTACACCACCGACCTACGGTATTTACTATACTGATTCCAGCAATTTGAGGTAGTTATAAATTGAAAAATTCTTGACATACACCCCCGCCGCCCAAAATCAATAAATCAAATGTCAGGTCAAATTTTGACAATAGGCAGGTGTAGATATATGCCTGTTTAAAATTCATGTCGATAACAATGAAATTTATTAACGAGTTTTGCTTACATACCGCGATGACATTTAGAACACTTTTGTCCTTTTAACATTGGATTATTGGTAGTGTTACAGAAATTAATGTTAAGCGACCTATTGACTGATTTTCAAAGATTGAACTCGGTACAGAAACCAAATCAACTCATGATAATATGTTACGCAACAATATAACTCATGAATTGTAATTTATTGTAGGTCATCAGAGCTGCACCGGTTGGAGTAATCGTCCGATTGACGCAGTGGATCGGTGACATATTTGTGACCCACTTATACCACAATTACACGCAATCTATAATAAAAAATACAACTTACATATAACCTCCATCCTTCCTTCTCCAGCGGCTGACGCGAAGCTTGGCGCTTCAGCAGACACCTCGCATCTGTACAGTCCGCTCGATTTGAGGGTCACCTGGTGCAAGATGACTCTTCGGTCGTCTGATTTTTGTAACTGTTCGGAAAAATTGATTTCATTAGTATCTAGGTAAAATAGAATAACAAAACTCTGTGTCTAGCAGTTTTAGACTGGATTAAAATACTAATGTCATGTTGTGTCATTTCCTGGAGGAATTTAATAATCATAAACTTGTACAAAAATATAATAATAATAAAATATTCGTGTGAATAAGACCAAACTTCATAACTTAAGTCAGAGAATTGAGAACCTCCTCCTTCTTTAGAAGTCGGTTAAAAATAACATTTAGTTCGCTATTTTACAAAGATCACATCAAAATAAAAATATACTTTTCTATAAAAATATGTAATGAGCTAATTGCAAGAAGTCACACAAAAGTTGTCTCATTCAGCAGGCGACCTCGTTTCCAACTGAAATCTCCTCAACTGTGTCTACTTCGAGATTTTTATAATTGCTCACTTGAAATGTTTCACTGCCAACGGAACAGAAGTTTTGCTTTCATAGAGTAATGTTGATCAAAATAGTGGCAAAGATTTTTATTAAAAGATGGCTTCTAAATCTGGATTTAAATTTTTATATCCTGTAATTCCTTCGTATCAGTTTTATGAAAGTTTTACAAGATTGAATTTCCGTTATATAAAATTGGTTACCAAATTACTGTCACAATTATATTTCACCAATGTAGGTACATGAAGTACGGAATATTATTTATCTAAAATTTAGGATAATTTACTCCCTATTAACAACCTTACACTTCAACTAACAGATTATAATAGGGCAGATGACTAATTTTTATTTTTTGTCCGTCTGGTATATTATTTTAAAATACGTACGGAAAATACACGTATATTTTATTTTTTTACAGAATCGAATACTTTCGACGATATATTGATTTGAAAAATCGCGTGACGTCACTTCTGTGTACATTTTATACATAGAAGTGAAGTTTTAGTCCCCACTCCTAAACTTTGATTCGTTATACTTATGTATCATTTTATTATACAACAAAATAAGAAAATACGTTTCTAATATTTTTCATTACCTAACTGACGGACTAATTAGATTTTTAATTTTCATACCCTGTCATCAACCCTATTATGATTTGCAGCAATTGAACGCCAAACCAAACGCCGCCAACGGCAATGTAAACTACATGAGGAGTTTTATTTCAGACACTAGCTTCTCAAATTAAAACCATTATCCAATAAAATATAATACTGTACCGAACAAAAATGACTAGACATACATTCCCAATGTATCTTGATCAATAAGGAAAATTGAATCTTGCTAAATCTCCCACTACAAGTAATTTTGTCGAGCACGTTTCCACTAGCTTAGTCGATAGTATTCCTCAATGGTCGTGTATGGATTGTGTGGCTTCGTCTCATTTCTATCCCGATCTTTTGTCAGTGTACGAGGGCGTCTCCCATTGTACGCTCCGAATAGATAACCAACCTATATAACTTACAAAGAATGGGTTTCTAAGAAAACCTTTCAAATTATACGGTAATTTGCCCAATACTGTATCGTGTGTCTTTAAAACGTTGATGTATTGATATTAATTTCCTTCAGATCTTGTGAAAATATCACGCTGTTCATTTCTTCGGTTGTTATAATTTTACCTTCGTCGAAATGTATTTGTTGGAAATGGTATCTACATATATAAAAATGAAACCTGTTTCCCATTGTCACGCCATAACTTGAGAACATTTTTTTTGTTGTGTTTGTTATCGTCAGGAGAAAATTCTTATGACAGAATAAGGTCCTGAAAATCCTACGGGAATGGGAGAAACGGGACTGCGGGTACGAAGTCGCGGGCAGAAGCTAATTACTCATAATTCACTCTACTGTCGACTGTCGATACAATTTTATACACTAAACGTCTGCAGTGATAGAATATAACCTGTTACCGTTATTGTATATGTTACAACATATCAATTGCTTATTTACAAACTGCTGCAAATATTAATTAGTACTAGTCCTCTCATTTTTTTGTTCATAGTTTTAAGCATTATATTGTACTATTGTCTAGTCAATAGTCAATCATAATTTAACTTTAATATTGTAAAATATAGTACCTACTAACGATACATTTAAAAAAACAAATTGTTAATGGATTAAGTACAATTAAATTATTCTTATTCTGATTCTTATTTGTAAATATGATAATCTTGTCAAAATGTTTATCTATCTAAATAAAAAAGGAAATTTCGTTCGTTAGTTTCGTTAAAACTCGACAACGGCTGAACTGATTTGGCTAATTTTGGTCTTAAAAAGTTCTTGGAAGTCCAGAAAAGAATGAAAAGAGAGATTATGGTGCCTATACAAGCACTCTATTTTTGAGTCTAGAACTCAAAAAAGTTTAGGCGGTACAAACTTTGCTGATCAGCTAGTTTTAAAATACAATAATTATTTATAAGATATACACCCGTTTTTTCAGTGACATTCCTTGACTTTTGGCATACCTTTTTAATTTTTAATTGGAACAACATATTAATATAACCTAACATACAGTTCAAAGTAGGGTGTTAATAATCACCCAGATACGAGTACATATTACAAAACACTGAGGTAGAATGTTGATGACCACCAAATTCATGGGTAAATCTACATTTACAAATCCCACTAAGCTTCATAACATTCAAAATTATCGAATGGGGTACTAAACCATTATGTAACATGAATTCAAAACACAACACATATAGTTCCTAGTTATATTCAAAATTTATGTAAGCCGGGAGGATGAATCTACAGGCTTAAAAGCGCTATAAAAGGTGTTCAAACAACTTACGTCCACTTTGATCCCCTCCAATTTGTAGGCGTGCTTCGGCGGGTCAAACTTGGGCATGTAACGGTAGAACTCTTCATTGTCTCTGTACCATTTGACGGAGTACAGGTTGTCCTCGCCCAGTTCATAGTCACACTCGAACTGGGCGGGTTGGCCCCGCACCCTGTATGTAGGTACTGACACTCGAACTATCTTTAGCAGTAACGACTCTGGAACAAAATTGATTTATTGAGAAACTATTTTTAGGTATCTCTTACGAACTATAAGTATGACAAAAAAGCTTTTCAATAGGCACGGTACATCGGTACACGTTTTTTCATATTCGTATCTGACCTTAGGAGTAGTTGAGCTTATTTTATTAGGGTTTCAAATACATTGAGGCAGACTGACTTTAAATAATATTCAAGTTAGTCTGTTCCTACAACTATTTAAATTGCTTTATAAATGGAACTTTTTTTTATATAGGTAGGTATTTCATGTGGTCGTACCTGAGGTTTAAGACCGCTGGCTTCTCATGGACGAAGGTTCGAAACCTATCAACGTCAAGTACCAATGTAACTTTTCCGAGTTATTTAGACACCACTAACAAACGTCGTGAGAAACCTTGGGTTATATTTTTTGTTTAACGTTTCCCCACTGTGGGACTTTTTCCTGTGTCACACACGACAAACGACGTTTACAAACATACAATATCACATACACATGACACCCAGACCCGAAACAATAATTTGTGGATCACATAAAAGTATGTTCACGCATCACGCTAAAACTACCAGTCCGATTGCAATAAAACTTGTTATGATTATACTTCAATATCCTGGGCATAACACTGGGTACTTTTTATTCCAAAAAAGTAGAAACTCGAAAAAACAAACTTAATTGTGCGGCTCGATCCCCAGATACAATTACTATACCGAGCGCAAATATAAGTTTGTCGAATGTTAAGTTTACTTGCAGTGGACTTTACGCTGTAACTGTAAGGCCGATGAAATTAAACCGCTGTTTTCGCATTTATAATTAATTATTATAAATGCGAAAACATATAAGTTTGTACTCAGATCAAAATAGCTGAAGGGTCCCGGTATAAAATTTGTAATAGAGGTAAATTATGGTCTGGAGTAACACATAGGCTACTTTAGCTCTGAGAACGCAGGCGAAGCCGCTGGCAGAAACTAGTTATAAAAAAATGTTAATGTTTACTAGCCGTTGCATGTTATGTTGTGTGCACATACTTGTTAAAGCATTGCTCTGCCATTTAGTGTTTTAATACTTAGGGCATAAAATATAGTTTTTATAATGTTAAATATAGGCTAAACTCAAAAAAAATTCGCATGAATATTACTAACAGGTCGGGTCAACATATAGGCATGTAGCCTATACCATATAGCATATGCTATCACCAACGGGCCAAGACCTGTGAATCATTATTACTACACACGGACGAAATCGCGAGTACAACTAGTAAATAAATAAAATAAATTTACATTACGTATTAATTCATACATATATAATTCCATAAAAAAAACCTAAATGACAATGCCAGATCCTGACCCTGTCATACTATCATTTACAAAAAAAGTAAATTGATGAAAATAATTTTGACGAATAAGGAACTTTTACACAATAATTCTTTTTATTTTTAAACTTGCGGTTTGCAATCTAATAAAAAAAGAAGTTCAATCCCGGAAATACTTTTTTGCAAGGCGTATTCCATATTGTCTTATGACTATTTGCGTTACATCATACGCATCGCTTGTACGAAACTATGAAAATAAAAAAGTAAGTAATTGTAAAAAAAGATATCACTATACATAAAATATTATATCAAAGTATAATTATGTATAACATTTATTTATTTATTAATAATTACAGATGAAATCACGAAAATATAAAAGAAACGATTACTATCATTAGTTATGATTTTTTTGTGTAACGAAACGTTTTGAAGCGCTCGTCCACTGTCAGCTGTCAGTGTCAATATTATCTTTCATTCGCTCTCTGCGTTTCCGTTGTTTTCGCGTTATTTATCATTATTGTTTTGTGTTTTAAACAAAAACCGTGGTGTTTGTAATAAGGTTCACTCGACGAGCAAGGGAGTGGAAAAATGAAATGCGTGTTGTCCACATGCAAGTGTATTAGCGACTAAAAAATATTACATAAAAATACTGTTTTAACCATCGACTTGACGTACCTATGTATAGTTAGATATATGGAACTGGTTTGTGAGCAGCCACGACAATTCTTACATCAACAAACCGCAAGTTTTAAAAGTTTCAGGACAAATGTTTAGGTATCGGCAATTAATACACTACACGATGCTGAATACTGCATACTTGTACGTTACTTTAATATAGTGGGTCAAAGATGTACTGAGCACCTGGCATTGTCCTTTCTTGCCGTAGTCTCTCGTAGATTTCAGAAGAGTATAACCTGGGTGTTTTCAAGGCCCGATATGCTCCATCGTAGCTCATCGGTCGCAGTAGGCATCATCGCTTACCAACACGCGAGATAGTGACCAAAGTCGGTCTATCAAATATATAAAAAAGAAATTAAATTATGAATGGCTCATACTATACACTATTTTCATATTTAGGTTTGAGCTATGAAATCCTATCTCCATAATCAGTTTTATTCAAGTACCTTCAACGAATAGAGGTAATTTTGTAAAATGAATATATTGTTTGTTCATACTTTACATGGGTAATTAAATTACGTCGTCCTCGGGGCTAAGAGCCCTCTCAGCTTGTCACGCAATACCTTCAAATATGCCGTGATATTATTATTACGTACTTGTATGTATAATATTTAATGTAATGTGTTGATTTAGTACGTAGAAACAACGTTTGGCTAACTCTTTGACTGTCGAGACTTTTACAGCAGAGAAAAAAGGGTAACGAAGTGAATTTCTGTTTCATATACACACATAAATGTAAATACATATATTCACGTCTTGTATTTCCTGAAGAAGTAGGCAGAAGCAGACATATACAATGTTACACCCACTTTTCTTGAGTTATGTTACAAGTCATAGTCATATATATGATAACACTAGCTATTCTCGCGCTTTTTCTTCCGATTTTCTCGGCTCCTATTAGTTATAGCGTGATGTTTTATGGCCCTTCCTCGATAAATGCACTATACCACACAAAAAAAAATTGAATATGGACCAATATTTCCGAAGAATAAAGCATTTTTTTTCGCGGGTAGACGAGCAGACGGATCACCTGATGGAAAGCAATCGGCGTCGCCTATGGACACCTGGAACACCAAAGGCGTTACAAGTGCGTTACCGGCCATTTGGGGATTAGGAGTTTGAGGATTGTTGGGGATTCAGGGATTGGGGAGATTGGAGAAGGGGAGGGTAATTGGGCCTCCGGTAACCCCATTCACACGACGAAACACAACGCAAGCGTTGCTTCACGTCGGTTTTCTGTGGGGCCGTGGTATCACTCCGGTCGATCCGGCCCATTCGTGCGTCTTCTCCCGCCTGAGTGAGGCAGGAGGGAGTGTCAGACTCTTACTGACTTAAAACCACCCCGTTCCTTCTCCTGCACTTCGAGCCGGAGCCCCGGTAACCCGTTAGGTTCTCCGCGACTTTGTTCAATACTTCGATTAAGTAATCCGATAGTCCATAATATGTTATAACATGATACATATCATACATATTTCAACACAACATTTTATTCCTTTTAAAGTACGGATTATATGCGATTTATTTTCCAAAGCAGGATAAGTCCAGTTAATATTTTATTGCGAACTGCTACTGGAGTTTATGACGATTGCTAAGTTTTATTTATATAAGCGATTCAAAGTCCGCTCGATTATTTTCAAACGTTTCGGGCAACAAACTTGTTCCGTTTATAATACAAATATGTTTAAAACGGCACGTGCTGAAAGTATGGAAATTTATTTCAATTTTGTACATTTGTTACTGAAAATAATAGTATAATTTATCACTCAAACAAGACTTAATAGGCATTCAGGCAAGTCTTATACCTATTTTTGAGGGGGAAAAATCATCCAATGACTTCTACCGCCCGGGTCAAGCGAGAGGGAGTATCAGACTCTTACCGACTACAAACCACCCCGTCCCTACTTCTGCGCTACGAGCCGGAGCCCCGGCAATCTGTTAAAAGTCTTATTACCTGGTATCAGTTTTGTCGATCTTGGATATGTTCATTAACATCACAGAGTATGAAGTTGTGCAATAGACCTACATTAATTAAAGTAGATTACGTTTTGTTACATGTACAAAAACTTCAAAAAAATACAACTCCATATTAAAAATATCCCTTTAAAAATAACATACCTTGAAAACACGTTTCATACGTTTATTAAAAACAAAACACAAATTAAATAAAAATACGAAACCATTCCTAAACTCCCTCATAAAACTCGCTTGGAAATACAATTCCTACATAAACGTTTGAACATAGGTTCATAAAAACATTCGGAAGCAACACACATTTACATGCAAATAAAATCGTCCAATTCTATGTCATATTAAATCAAACAACAAATACATATTGTCGTAGAAACATAAATGGAATCGGAAAAACCGCTGATGTATCGTAAATCCAATAGTAGACATATCTTTAGTATATCTAAATATTATCGAACAAGGTTTTGAATAGAATAAATATCGTAAGTCGAATATCGAAGCAAGTGAGGCCTTTCATGTAACAAGTAGCTACCTAGGTAGCCCTCGTACGAGTTTATTCTAGCCAATCATAGTCGTTTCTGACAAGCATCGGGCCGATCCGATTGCCGTGTTCAAAGAGTTGAATAAAATGTAAGATATCCCTTGGGTAAGATTATAGATGGAAACGTTGAAAAGAATAAAATGTAGCTTACTGAACTAAAAATATTTTGGGATTTGTACATAAGATTATCACATGTTTTACTCTGAGTAAAGCTGAAGTTTAAGCCCATTACATCACACTCTACGTGCTTCAAGTGTCATGTATATTTGTTTTTGGTCACCCAAAAATGAAGTCTAGTCAGCCTGTTGAACTAATATAGTGATAACTTTTTGTCACGTGTAGTTATTTTGATACATCATTGATTTTTGTATAATGCCCGAAATAGTCTAAAGAAAAGATCGTGAGAACAGCACTGCGCTTTTCATTTCCCGAAGAGTTAAACCAAAATAATTGCCCTTAAATCCCTAGGTATCTCAGTAATATCGAAGAAACAGACTGCAGAAACT